CTTTAGCAAAAACGATATGGATGATTCACTTCTGAATTATAATTCACACATGACTTGAAATTTAGTTATTGGGAAACCATTACACTGCTGATGCAAGTATGCAATACTGCGCCATAGGGTATTAACAAAACAATCTAAAACAAACTAAATCATTATGATAAAGCTAAATTAACAGCAATTTATAATTAAAAGCAAGAATGGCAGCATTTAAAGACCAAAATGACCTCAGTACAACACTGATAATCTAGTAATAACTAAACATCCTTTCCCAAAATCACTGGAAGTCAAACTATGAGAGTTTGTACTACCTCACACAAGCTCTGCAAAGTGTGGAGGAAGCCCGTGGAATATTGCATTAGCATTCTCTATAAGTTGTTTTGTTTTATAAAAAACAAATTTCAGTACTTTTAAATCTTTTACTTAATAGGTTTTGAAACTGCCGATAAGAATTGACAAAAAGAAAAAAAAAAGAATTGACAAAAAGACCTATAATTTTGGGTCAGTCTTCTGGCTTCCTATTCAGGGAGCTTGGGTCTACACTTTGATCACTTTTCTAAACAAGAGATGATCAACTCAAGAAATTTCCTCAGGAACATACTCCTCAAATCTAATATCAACAATAGACTTTTGGTTTATATAAAATAGAGAGAACAGAAGATTAAAACAAAAACAAAACCCTTAAGAGCAAACAACTTCTTTCCAGTCTGCCAAGGGAGGTTGGTCCTCTAGAACATCCTTCCTCTTGGTCTCTGGGGTTTCTGGAAGCACAGTGGCAGCCCAGAGTGACCTCCCAGGAGACAGCAGGGGGTGTCATGGCTACTCTGCACTGCAGGCTCGCAATACCTTGGCCCAAATAGCGAGGGAGACCACAACAATGGGAGTGGGGCAGAGTAGATCCCTTACATCCTTGTATTAGTATCTCTGGGCCTACCACGGTGACCAGTACAAAACAGATGCCAAATAAACACAGAAAAAACTAAAGCTGGCCTCAGCTCACCTTCTTTCCTAGCACCATATTCATAAACATGCATTTATCAGATATGTCCTCTTTCCTGCCACAGCTGTTGCAATGCAGGAGGTGACCCTCCCAGTCCCTTCTCTATGCTTGGGTCCCCAACCCACCTCTCTTCACAAGAACCTTATAACAGCACCCCTATGTCTACCTCAACATCTCCAAATTCCTTTTGACTCTCAAAACCCCTTCACAGAAACATATAGTTATATGAACCCTCTTAGGAATTTATTAAATCATTTCATTATTATTGTATGATATGATAAAGAGAAAAATTTTAAGTACAAATATTTTATTTAAAATAAGCATAAATTTAAAAATAATATAAAATTTATTTTAAAAGTGATTTTCATATGTAATAATGCCACTATTTTAATACATAAATTAAATCATAAATCTTAATACATAAATTAATACATAAATTAAATCCTTAATGAATTATGTTAAAAAAGGCACAATTGGCCAATATCATAAGTTTTAGGACCATACCAAAATATACTCTAAAACATGCATTTAAAATTAAATCTGTTATAGAATCAAAAATCAATAAAAAAATTTCATATTTTTTGAAATTTTTGTTTTTTGAATGTAAAATTCAAGTACGATAGCTTTCTCTTTTAGTTTTTAAGGGTTAAGATTTCAGACTTATTATTTTCAAGTATTTCTATGAAAATAGTGAATAGTCTTAATTCCCCAAAATTAAAATGTCAAATTAGATAAAAAGCAATACTATATTTCTTATGTTTAACACTGGCTTTTGAAGATTAAAATTTCTATTAGAAAATTAGAATTATCAAATTTAAACTCATTATTGGTTTGTTATATTTCAATCATAAGTGTCATGTCTTTTGACAATGGTTTTTTTTTTTTTTTGAGACAGAGTCTCAAAAAACTCTGTTGCCCAGGCTAGAGTGAGTGCCGTGGCGTCAGGCTAGCTCACAGCAACCTTAGACTCCTGGGCTCAAGCAATCCTCCTGCCTCAGCCTCCCGAGTAGCTGGGACTACAGGCACGAGCCACCATGCCCAGCTAATTTTTTTTATATATATTAGTTTGCCAATTAACTAATTTCTATTTATAGTAGAGACGGAGTCTCACTCTTGCTCAGGCTGGTTTCGAACTCCTGACCTTGAGCAATCCGCCTGCCACGGCCTCCCAGAGTGCTAGGATTACAGGCAAGAGCCACCGCGCCCGGCCTCAACAATGGTTTTTACGTACATAATTTAAACAATACATTATGATACAAAAGGAAGAAAACTAGGCAAAACTGTACAACTGACAAAACACCCAGGATTACTGGGAGCTGGCGACATAGCATACACCCAGACGAGAGAACACAAGCGCCAATGGAGCTCCACCGACTCTGGGGCTCTGTGTACACTGAGTTCTATTTTCTAGGGGAAATATGCAAATCAATCCTTATTCCCTGCTACAAAATGCCCTTCCCAATACACCTCCCACCACCAATGTCTCTTGCTTTCTGTTTTCCCTTGCAGCCAAACCTCATGAAAAGGTGCTTTAAATTAGCTATTTCAGATTTTCGTCTCACACTGATTTTTCAATCCACTCTAATTTGGTTTCTGTACCCACTCTTCAACTAAAATTGTTTCTGTTAACATAATCAGCAATGTCCATGTCACCAAGTCCAATGGCTACTTTTCAGTCTCATTTAACCCTTCAGCAGCTTCTGATTGTTCACTTCGTCCTTCAGCATGTGTGACAACATGCTCTACCAGTTTCCACTTACTTCTCAGCTTGCTTTGCCTCAATCTCCTTTGCCCGCACCTACTTTACTTTTAACAATACTTGCGTTCTTTAGCATTCAGTAACCCCTCCTTCCTTCATGTTTTTTCTCTAGGTGTCTTCATTTACTTCCTTTATAGGCCAATGGAGATTTCTGTCTCCAGTCCAGACCTATCTTCTGAGCGTAGCCCATTATATCCACCTGCTTACTATAGATATCCATTTGAACATTAAATTCAACATGGCAAAAACTTAACACTGGTCTCATGCCAAACCCAGGCCAACTCAACCGCAAACCTGCTTCTTTGGAATGTTCTCTAGTTCTCAATACAGCATGACTAGGCACCCGCTACTCATGCCAGAAATATGGATGTCATCCTTGACATGCTCCCCTCCTCCACCCAACACTGTCAATTGATTTAATCCTGCTGATTCAACCTCCTTTATATTTCACCACTCTGTTTACTTCTAACACCATTATTATCACTCCAGTCCAAGCCACCATCATTGCTTGACTACTCTCTAGTTAGTCCTGGGTAAACACTATGGCTCTGCTCCAATCCACTATCTACTCTGAAGTTAGAATGCTATTTGTGTGTGTGTGTGTGTGTGTGTGTGTGTGTGTGTGTGTGTGTGTGTGTGTGTTTCAGAGAGAGAGAGAGAGACAGAGAGAGAGAGACAGACAGAGAGAGAGAAAGACTGACTCACCCTGCCCCTAGACTGGAGTGCAGTGGTGTAATCATAGCTCACTGCAACCTCCAACTCCCAGGCTCAAGCAATCCTCCTGACTCAGCCTCTTGAGTAGCTAAGATTATAAGCACACTCCATCACATCCAGCTAATTTTTAAATGTTTTTCTTAGAGACAGAGTCTCACTACATTGCCCAGGCTGGTCTTGAACTCCTGGCCTCAAGCACTCCTCCCACCGTAGCCTCCCAAAGTGCTACTATGACAAGCATGAGTCACTGCACCTGGCCTGGAATGCTATTTTTAATGAAATCTGATCGCATCACTACTCTGTTTTTAAAAAACCTTTTGATTTCTTCTCATTAATAACATGGTAAAATAAAAGGTCCATAATAAAAACTTAAAGACCCTGTTCCTTTAGGTCTGGCCTTTGCCTACCTCTCCAACCTCACATACCACTCTTTCCCTTATCTTTATGTTAAACACACAGTTCTTCTCTTCCTCAAAAATACCATGCTTTTCTACCTCAAGACCATCAATTTTACAGTTTTCCTTTCTCTAGAACAGAAATAGACAAACATTTTTAGGAGAGGTCTAGGCAGTAGATATATTAGGCTGTGTTGGCCAAGAGGCCATAGTCTGTGACTCAACGGCTCAACTCTGACCTTGTGGCATGAAAGCAGCCACAGACAATATGCAAACAAATGAGCATGACTATGTTCCTGGGCCATAAAAACATGGGTTGTGGACTGGAGCACAGTTTGCCAATTCCAGCTCTAGAAGGCAAATAATCCCTAACCCCTTTGCTCACAGATTCAAGTGCCTTGTTCTCATTGAAGATTTTCCTGATCAGGATAAATCCACTTATCACATGTACTTATACCACAAAGTATATATCTCTTTCCTAGAACTGATCATTATTGTACAGTTGACCCTTGAACAATGTGGGGGTTAGGGGCACAAAACTTAACTACCAATAGCTTACCGTTAACTAGAAGCCTTACTGATAACATAAACAGTTGATTAACATGTTTTATATGTTATATGTATTATAAACTATATTCTTACAATAAAGTAAGCTAGAGTAAGAAATGTTTTTGAGGCAATCACAAAGAAGAGAAAATACATTTACAGTATTGTACTGTTATTTACCAATGCTTGTGACTCTAGCAATAGTATCTGTGCAACCTCTGATAGATATTTAACCTCTTTAGGCCTACTACATGTTTTATCCTAAAAAAGGTACAAATAATCTAATTTCTACAAAATAAATTGTGAAATTCCTCCATATTACAATATTACCAATTTATACCTTCAAGGGGGATGGTTTTCCTCTGCTGTTTTAGATTAAAACAAATTCTCTGTCTTTAGAGAACAACAAAAAGGGGATGTGCTATCCTTTTTGCATATAATAACAACCTAAAAGCATTAGGTTTTGAGCATGTCCCTGGAGTTGCATAATGATCATGAATTCTTTTTATTTCACAGCAATTCCCCTTCTGTTTATAAACCAAACACATTCAATATATGGCACATCAGGTGATTACTAGACCTTTATTACCTCTGCTTCATTGTCTCATGTACTCGCCCATGCTGGACACACTGTTGCTCCAATTCATCATTTCTTTTCTGTAACTTTTCCAGTTTGTCATATGTATACCTTTTTTCTTGACTGAGCTGAGAGATTTCAGATCTAGAGAGATAAAAACACAGAAATAATAGATGTTACAGGTTCTTATTACTAGAGTATATTTTTACTGTATAACCGTCACCTTATCTTAATCTCTATACTTAAATGTAACAGTATAAGAAAAATTATTTTATGTAAAAGAAAATATCACAGAAATTGCAAAATACCTAGAGATAGATATGCATTGTAGGGACTCAAGTGTTAAATAAATGAATAACAACTTACTCTAATAGAAATGTCTTTTCTAAGGAACAAGACAAAAATGGTAATGATCAAATCTCTTTTTAAAAAGACTATCATTCATTTAACAACTACTTACTGAGCATTTACTATAGGCCAGTCACCATATTTCAAAGAAACAACCCAGACCTAACCTCTGTAACAGAGAATTTCTTTCAATTAACACAGCCAATTTAATAGCACATGGTTAAAATCAAATAATTCTGTGATAATTAATTTTATATGTTCACTTGGCTGGGCCACAGTGCCCAGATATTTGGCCAAACATTATTCTGCATGTTTCTGTGAAAGTATTTTTAGATGAGATTAACATTAAGTTGGTGCACTTTGAGTAAAGCAGATTGCCCTCTGTGTGGGTGGGCCTCATCCAATTAGTTGAAGGCATTAATAGAACAAAGGCTGACATCCCTGAGCAAGAAGGATTTCTGCCTCCAGATTGCCTTTGAACTTAAACTGCAACTCCTCCCTGGTTTTCAAGCCTGCCTACCCTAAAGATTTTGGACTTACCAACCCTCCATAATTGCAGTAGCTGATTCCTTAAAATAAATCTCTGTGTCTATCTCTGTCTATCTAGACCTAGATAGATCCAATAGGTTGACAGATAGATATCCTGTTGGTTCTGTTTCTCTGAAGATCCTTAATAATTGCACAAGTTCTAAAAGGCATAATAATCTAAAGCAGCAGTCTCCTGTCCCCTGATCCCCAATCCAGCTAAATGGTGACAAATACTTTCAATTTTTGTAAAGCCTTTTCTTCTGGTATTTACCTCCATATTTTTAAATAAGCTCATCCACTATATCTTGTTCCATCAATTAAGAAATTTCTCCTGACTTATTGTGGTAGATGAAGATTAAACTCTTCTATATGCCTCATTCCCCTTCTTTCTTCTCCAGCTTGTCAATATAATTATCAGTATTTCAGTTTGGGGTTCAATTAGTATTCGCTTTATAATGACTACTTAAATATTGGTTTTGCTATCCAAGCAGTATATTATGATTACATTTGTGCTTGTGTACGTTCATTTTCTCCAAACTAGTGGGCTTTAGCATAGGATGATTGAGTGGCAAGCCATCTTTCCTGATGGGAGATCCTCAAATATCAGTATCTCAACATTTTGTCTATCGACATTCTGTTGCTCTGGAGAAGGATCTTTCAGTTTCCTGTTGCTGACAGTCAAGATTGTACTGTCAGCAACCTAGAAGCTGGGTGGAAACATGAGGTAAGGATCTCATCTTTCAGACCACAGTCTTTCTCTTAATCCCTCTATTCTAACTTCAGTTCCCCTATTTTAACCAGAGCTCTCTGGTTTAATTTCGTCAGAGGGGAAGCCCTTAGTCTTCTTTGCGGAAGAGGGGCAGCCACCCGGCTGCAAGGGGTAGACTAGGAATCTTCAATTTTTCTTCTAAGTTCTTCTGGAATTCTGAAAACAGATCAGCTTGCTTCACATATCCATATCCCACTCTGGACACATAAGATTAACTGTTCTCCATTCTGCTAACTCAGGTACCATTTCCCCAACCTTCTTTCTGTCTACATATATTTCACTTGGGATCACAGATACCACCTTTGGTGATGGCTGATGTCTCTCAGGAAATATGCTGTCTCTAGAGTCTTGGATGACAATGTCAAGTCTCAAAATTTGAAGATCAGAAAGATGTCTATACAAGAAAAGTTGTTTCCCTGTCCTTGTTTCAATTAAACTCTAAAGTGTCGCCCACTGCCCCCATCTTCTCATGCCCTACTTCCCCATCAGTTCCCCACTGAAAGCTTAAAACTTGTAGATTATAATATGAGTAGCTTCCAGGTTAATGATTGGTTTGTTTCCTGAAGTTTAAGTAAGACGCTAGCTGTAAAATTAATTCCCTCTAAACAAAGGGTTCTTCCATTAGGCAAGATAGACTTTTCTTCCTGGTTAGGAATAGTGTTCTATTCCTTTATACATGAAAGAATGGATTATCTCATTTTCAAGTTCAGATCATGTGCTCAATCTACATTTACTCCTCCTAATAAAAAATTAAACCATAATTGATGTAGTCCAAAACAAGTTGGTAATGACTTATGTTTTTTCTTTGAAAATTACATATAGCATAAAATAAATTAGAGGTAGTTATAATAAATTTTTAATTTAGTACTCATTCCAAGATTAGTGTCTCCTATCATACCATGCACTAAAATAAATTCCAAAAAAAAAAAAAAAGAAAAAAATATCCTTAAACCATGTTAGAAGAAAAATACAGGAGAACATTTATCTATTCTCAGGTACTCAAGCAAAAAGGAAATTTTTAAAAGAAAAATCACAAAGAAAACATAGATTTTATAAAACTTCTATACTTACAAATCATGTTTGGAAAAAATTGTACATTTGGGTGAAAATATTCATTACAGCATTATTTCTAGAAATACCCTTGCTCTGCAACCCAGTATCTAGAAACTTAACCCAGAAATCTATCAATAGGAGATTGGTTACATTACTTATTCAATGGAATATCAAGATATTATTATGAAAATGTGGCTATTTATTAATATTCTTTATTGACCTAAAACTATGACATATTGAAAAGAAAAAACACACTAAAAAGCAGCAGGTATGATGTGATTCCATTTTATAATTTAAAAATATTTTGACATGTATACCAAATATTAATATTAATATTGATTATTTTTGGGTGGTAGGATGAATGTTTTTTTCTGTTCTTTATTCATCCTTTCCCACACTTTATAAATGTTTTAAATAGACATAAATAGTATTTTGAAAAAATTCATAATAAAACAAAATAGAGAAGTCAATAGTGGGGGAGATTTTGGGAGAGGACAGGGAATATATAGGAACTCTCAGTACTTTCTGCTCAGTGTTGCAGTGGATCTCAAACTACTCTAAAAGTAAAGTTTAATAATTAAAAAAAACCATACAGAACATACAGAACATACAGGATCAATAAAAATTAAAAGCATCATTAAATGAAGCACTAACTACACTCTCCATCAACATTTCAATTAAGAAAAGTACAAGGAATATGAAAAATATCCACAGAAGATACGCAAATGATCAATAAACATTTATAAAATATTCAACTTCAGTATTATTCAAAGAAATGCATAACAAAACCAGATACTACTATCAAACGTTTCTTGCATGCCTACTCTATAACAAATAGTGAAATCCATCCTTTACATTAATGATCTCAATCCTGCAAGGTATCTCTGTGAGATAAATATGAAGTTTAATGATTTGCCTAAGATCACTCAAATGGTGAGTGGCCAAGCCCAGATACTAATACCATTCTGTCCAATTCTTAAGGAGTACTGCCACCCACCATGCAGTACAGCCTCCTCCTTTTTGTTCTTTTATCTCTGACTTCTTTTTAATGTCACATACTGATATAGGGGTATATACACATATATTGAGCAGAATTTAGAATAGTACTTAAGCAAAGTAAAGCACATTAAAAAGATTCATAGCCTTTGGACTAGCAATCCCCTTTGAGGCATCTCTACTAAGGGAATCATCAAAAATTCAGATTTATATACAGTTATTGTCATATTATTATTCATAATGGTTAAAAATTGGAAACATCATAAATGTCTAATGAATTATTATGCATATAAATGATTCAATTAAAATTTTATTTCCAGAGTATTTACTGATGTAGAAAAATGTTCATTAGATGAGATAATATTAAGTGAAAAGGAAGATACAAAACTGTATATATACTATAATCTCAGTGACAATATAAATGTATGCATACATACATATGGAAATTGACTGAAATATGTAAAAGGTAACAATAGTTATCTCTGGATGATAATGTCACAGAAAATTTTTTCAAATTCTGGAAATTGAGGATCTGTTACATAATTACAAAAATGTAAATATTATTTGTAAAGTACATGGTACTACCAACTGTGTTATTGTAACAATCTTTTTTTCCTGCTTTGCATATTTTTGGTTTTTTCTTTATTTATAATGGTAGTTTGCTGCCAACTTCCATTGTTCAATAAAAATTGGGCACATATGCATGCACATCATCCTTTTTCTGTTTGGAGCTCACGAGATATTCATAGAACCAGTAGTTTGCAAAGCTCAAAGAGTAAACTTACACGTTTCTATATTAGTTTAGAGGCACATTTGTGGCATGTTTATCCTAGTGTCATATAAAAGGATAATTGACTCTAATCCATTTTCATAGAAAATTTAGGTCATTTCTGGCTTTACAAAAGCACCAACTTTCCCCTGCATTTTTATATACCAGTTATATTGTATAATTGCATTTACATGAAATAGAAGATATTTTACTACTATAATTCAGATTAAAATGATTGCTCTTTAAGGGAAAATATGACACTTTAATTTTTTTATTCTTTTAGATTCTGGTTTGACTTTTTATAAAAATTAGCAGAGGCCAATATCAGTCTCTTCTTGTAGAATATAATATTTGTAGGATCCCAAGCTAACATCATCTAAACATGCAAGGGAAAAAAATAGTTCAACCGGGTGTGTGTTCTTCACTTCAATTAAACTCACACAGTTGGATACCTACTGTTGCCAAAGCAGTAATATAATTTATACATTATAGTCCACACAGTAAAACTACACTAAAAGTCATTTAACAATATTTATAACACCATAAAATACAGTGTTAAAATATATGAACTGCAATATGTACCAAAATTATAAAATTTGTTTCTCATCATCAGTGATTAAAACCAGGATCATTGCTCTAGTCTCAATACTCACAACCCTGGTGACAGATTAGAATTCAAATCTTAATGATCAATTTACAATTAACAAGATAGAAGTGAAACAAATTAAACCAACCATTATATATAACGAGACCCCATGGACTCCCATTGTTCCTCTTAATTACAAAACGCAAATCACAAATACACAATGGGCAGTGTTAGACATCAATCCACAAGCCTAGCAACCCAGAAAGTGACAATGACAGAAAAGAAAGAAGAGAAGCAAAACCACATGGACCCGGATTCTGAGCTCTATCCTGTTCTTTTCAAAGTGCAAGTGGTGAGAGGCTGAACCCCAGCACATGCTAGATCTCCACTCTAGCTGGCAGAGGCTCTCTCCCAGCCTGTGCCCAACATTTTATCCAGGCTTCCCAGGCCAGGTGTCAGATAACACGGCAAACCCCACTGCAAGGTTTTACTGCTGATTCATCTAAGCGTCTGGGGAGAGGGAACACTTCCTTTACTTTGATAAAGAAAAATCACAGTTGTTCCAATGATATTTAAATATCTCCATTTACCTCTCTCAAAAACAACCCCATAACTGTAATAAGCTCTCAGAGTACTGGGGAATACAGAAAGAAGGGTAGCGAAAGTTTATGTGAGCTTTAACTAAAATCAGCCAGAATGTCTGCCCGGTGCCAATTAAAAGCAAAATGGAATTAATTCTCTTGCCTGATGGTCAAAAACAAGCTATATAAAATGCACAGAATCGGCAGTTCATTTTTAGTTTTAAAATGGGACGTGCCATTCACAAACCCTGGGGTTACAGACACCACTACGTGCGGTGTGGGATACACACAGCGCGCAAAGTGCAGTGCTAATCTCTATGGAGCCTTCCAGAGAACAGAAGCAGTCGTCACTGCCATAACGCGACTTACGGTCTATGGGAGAAAACACATACAACAGACACATACACACAGAGGTACCATTTCAAAACATTTTCACAGAGCAGCCTCGCATGAGGCTGGGGCAGAGAGTAAGAGTATATGGGCACCACGAGCCCAGATTGTCAGCTTTCCTCGTGATTCTGCATGGGTTCTAGTCAAATGACTAGATCTGTGAGTGAAAAAGCTTTTTTTAAATGGTATGAATCCATTTGTTTAGTTTGGCATTTTAAATAACATAAAACTCTTAGAGAAATGTTGCTAGTAAAGGCAGGAGAGCAAAAAAATGTGTTTTAATCATTGATCAATGCAAAATAAATACACTTACTTTCAGGAAAAATTTTTACTGTAATACTCTGAGAAAAATCTGGACCAAAATTACCATATGGATTACATAATTATTTTGGAGGCTGAGTTTGCACAATGACAAAATTTCAGAATCTCCAAGACTTCCCTCACAAAGCACAGGGGAAATTATTTATCCCCCAAATTTAGTATAGTGTGAGCAGAGGCAAAGTCCTGGAGGGTTTCTACAGATTTTACTATGTTCATAATTTTTATTTAAAAAGAAACAATCTGAGCCTTTCAAGTTTTATAGGTGGTTTCAAAGCAGAAGGTAACATCAAAATGGGATGTTAACTTTGGCATGAATGAATTGTTGAAAATGTCATAGTAGGAAATCAAGGAGAAATGAGACTGGATCTCAAAGTCACAATCTGCCCTATCTACTACTTTCTTGTGAGGCATATAAACACAGCTATAGTAAACTTCAGGGGCTCATAAAAGTATCAAAAATAATAAGTAACAATTTATTGAGTGTTTACTACTTGCCAGGCCTTAGTTTGGAATCAAATTGTCAAGTTACAGTAGGTTCCCATTTTAATCCTTCAGACTTAAAAACACAACCAGATCCCCATTGTCCTGAACCTGCTTTGCCCTTAAAAAGGTTTTCACTGTGGCACTGACTTTACTGTTATCAGAAAATGGCAGCCAGACCTTCCATGGCAAACACAATAATAGGTTGATGAAGTGATACCCACATTACCAGTCAACACCCAAAAAACAATGCCGTCGAGGACAACAGCAGCAGTGCTGTGTATCACTATGTCACACATTGTGCTAGACGCTTCACACACGCATGGTTGTATATCTCTATATAGTTCTGATTCCCACAACAATCCTGCAGCATGGCTTTAGAAAGGTTATTATTTTTATTTATTTTGTATTTCAGCATATTACTGGGGTACAAATGTTTAGGTTACATATATTGCCTTTGCCCCACCCGAGTAGAAATGTTTTTACAGATGGAGAAGCTGAGATTTGGGGAGATAAGACAATGTGCCCAAGGTTACAGTAGCTAAGTGGCAGAAGGAGAGTCACACCTATTTCTTTTAGAATTCTGAAGTATTCTTTATTGCACACTGTCTGCCATCAACAAAGGAACCAGCTGGAATCAGAAGTGAGATAAGGATGTGAGGGTAGCACCACACTTGTTTCATTCATTCACCATCCATTCATTCAATAAGTATTAAGTGCCAGCTATGTGTCTGATACAAAAGAACACATTCAGTTTACAAATTCATAGTGGTCAGGAGCTGGAGGAATCAGAAGCAAGAGGAGCTGGAGAGGTGGTGAATTTCAAGTTCACTAGACAAGCACAGGGTAAGTTGATAGATCTACAGGAAGAAAAAGAAGGCCTATGGGCACAGAGTACTGGTTAACGCAGCCTTGCAGGTTCACCCTCACAGGCCAAGTATACTTCTCCACATGGATTTAAAAATTAATTTTTCCTTCCCAAACTCTGCCATCCTAACTACTGTGGCCTAAATTTTCTTTAGTAGTAGACATAAAATATTGTGATTATTTGGAATCAAAAATAGCTAGGTTAGAACCCTAGCCCTCCCACTTACTAGTGATTTAAACAGTTTTGATTTCCTAAGCTGTAAATGAAGATTCTAATTCCTGTCTCAAGTTGCCGTGGGAGTTAAATAATATACACCAAACACCTTTGTCTCTCTCTCTCTCTTTTTCTTTCTTTCTTTCTTTTTTTCTTTTTTAGACAGGGTTTCACTCTGTTGCTCAGGCTAGAGTGTAGTGGCATGATCATGGCCCACTGCACTGCAGCCTTGAACTTTTGGCCTCAGGTGATCCTTCTGCCTCAGCCTCCCAAAGTGCTCAGATTACAGGTGGAGGCCATTGCACCCGGCTCTTTGTCTCTTTCATATACTTCAATTATTTTGCCACCTTAGAGAGCAAGGTCATTAATCAATAATAATCCACAAACCAATATTAGACACATAACCCAATAATATAAATTCCAGATTAATATCATTTTCCCCTATAGTATATAAATCTAGTTTGCTTTTAACAAATTATTTGCTTTGGGATTTATGTAGGGAAAATTGAATATTTCTGGTTAGGAATATTCACTGTTGACATTTTGTAAGAGTTTCTATCATGACAAAATCATTTGGTTTTCTTGGTCAAATTTTCTGAAAATATCTGGTATTTTGGCACCCTGAGGTTTTCCTCCACCAAAATAAGTTATTTAATTAGTATATGCTAAGAAGGTGTGCATATCAGAGCACATTCTGGTTAGTTTTAGGACCCTCTGCTTCCCTGTGAGCAAAAAGAATTGGACTCATAACCCCTCTGATTCCTCAAAAGATTCAAGGATGAGGATTCTATCAACTAACACAGCTGGTTGATGCAGGAACCCAAGATGGAGCTCAGAGTAATCAGAAATGCTCTGGTCCTTCCGGAAATCCTTCCTAATCGAAACACCTAAGTCAGTAGTTTGTTTGCTGAGCCATATTTCTTGCTCTGTGTAGATGTAATGTGACATTTGACATCTAGATAGTTACGTGAATATTACCTTTTATAGTTAAGTTCAAAGTAATTATGTCCAATGTCATTCATTTATAAAAGAAGAAACCACAATCCAAGTAAGTCAGATAAATTTGTCCAAGATTACACAGTTACTGTCAGAGCTGAAATGAGGACCCGGGCTTCTTGCAATTTAGAATATAAAATAATTTATTCATTGAGATAATCTCGCTATAAAATGTGCAGGAAAAAAGTCGTTAAGATTCCAATAAGTGGATTTATAAAAGATCAGTATTCCTATAAAATAAATGATGGCTGTTCTATAAAAACAAAACAATTTTAGGAGAAGGAAAGGATTGTTTTGGTTTATTTATTTCAAAGTATCATCTACTTTCATTTTATATATACAAATTTCATATATTATCATTTGAGCTAAAGATAGCTTTTATGTGTTCATGGAGAGCTGTGATAATAGATTAAAATGTGTTAACTGTATCAACATAAGATTTTAAAACTGAGTATATGCATCCTCACCTTATTGTCATTTTGACTTTTGTTTTCTGAAATTTCATAGTTTTCCATTCTAAACATTAAAAAATAATAGTACATACACATAGTCATAAAAAACATAAAAGTGTCTGTATGGACAATTAAGAAAATGTCCACACAGAGAAAATATTTTCACAAAAAACTTACATTATCAGATACCTAATTTTGATATCAGACCATAAAATAGTGTAAATGCCATTTTTAAATGGCAAATTACAGTAATTACACAAATAGTGCTCTGAAAGTATTGTATAATATTACCTACCTGCTTTTTTGAGAGATTTGTTCCAGTTTCTTGGCTAACATACAGCATTCTTCTTTTAATTTTGTCAAAAATGTATTCTGGGAGATCAGCAATGAATACTGTTCATTTTCTAGAAATAACAATAAACCCCCACCAATGTAAGATGTTTATGGTTATAGCTGTGCAGTGCTTCCACACGTAGAATGGTAAAGTGCTCAGTCACGTTTCCTATGAGCCCCTAGGTCACTTTCAATGTCCTAAGTCAAAGAACCTATCAACTGACAAGACACTAAATCTTGTGAGTCATTTATTTTCATAATCGTTATATACCAGAAACATTTTTGATCATACCAGCTTGGTGTAATGTTTTAACATTTTAATAAGTTGTCAAATACCTCAAGTGGAGTCATAGATGCTTATATCTTTGTAATATGCAAGATATTGTATTTTTATTTTGACAATTTTGCTATAAACAGAGTGTCAAAAATTCTCACAACCAGATAATTCAAAACTGAAATCGAGGAATTCTCTTCTACACTGTAATCCATGCTTTGTTTCATATTTGTGCATATAGTTTACTACCCGCCCCCCCAAATCTTACCTATACTTCTCTAATTAGGAAGGTGAAATACATGATTTTCCTTAGAATTTTGATTTCACTGTCAATAGCATGAGCTTCACTGGCTATTTGGTCAAAGAAATTGAAGAGTGTGATTTTTGTGTGTGTGCAAAATAAAAGAAAGTGTTCTTAAGATGGTTTTAACAATTAAGTAATCTGGCACTCAGATTCTGCCTAAGACTCTGATCTGTAGGATCTGGCTAGCGGTGCAGACAAACAATAATTTATCCTGTAATTTCTTCTTTTTGTTAGTGGAAAAGTATCTTCTAAACCTGGTGAATTTTCGTTTCTTCTGGCTACTTGCTAATAGAAGAAAATGTCTACTGAAAGTGCTGGAGGGAATTATGTGAGTCAATATGACATTTGCTTCTAAGTACATTTTTAATGAATTTCATGTTAGTAATTTTTCACCTATAGGATAAGAAATAATTTTTTACTGTGTCATCAAATACAATGTACATTAAATCATGTGAAAATTACCTCTAAGTGTAAGTTTTAATAGGTCCTTTATTTCTTTTCAATTTTAGCTAATGATTGGCAAAAAGCAGATAGCATACAAATCAAAATAAATCAAGGCATTAAAATTAAGCAACATTTTTCTGGAAGAGACAGGATCAATTAAACTTTTGTTTTAATAGTACAATCAGCGTGGAGTATGTGGTGTGGAATTATAATGACTGACACTGTCTTGTTTTGACTAACACTGTCTGTGAACACACAACTCAAAAGTGAAAGAAACTACATAATGCTCTGACTGAACAAATCAAACTGCCTATTTTCAAAGTGCATTTTACTTTCAAATTAAAGGTAAAGAGTTACTGGCCAACTCAGTCTGCAGAATAGTGCCAATGTGATGAAAGATGGCAATTTTTAGCCAAGCTGCCAGCTGTGGTCAATGCCTTGTATTAGTGAATTTTAACAGCAGTTGTGAGAACTTGAAGAATGCAAAGGATTAAACATCACTCTAGATTGGGTTGGGGGAGGTGGGGAAATCATACAAATGCTAAAAATGTTCGAAGCTGCAAAGATTAAATAAAGGAACATATCAATTTGGAGCCACTGAATTACATCCAGCTGCGACAGTGAATTAAGAACCGATTAATGGTTAAAGCTTTTCTCCAGTTTGGATGCTGAAGCAAACTCATTAGGCTTTTAGAGTAGCTATAATGTGTGTACTGTGGGAACTGTTCAATGCTATTCAGGAGACTCTAACTGTAAGCTCAGAGCATTTCCCGCAGAGCTTCTGATGCTATTTTCTTTATATAACATGTGTGCCTGAAAACCCAGCCAAAAACAAGCCCTTTGTTTTTCTACTTTGTTGTGGTCTCTCTCAGCTTTACGTTTCTTGAACACAGGTAAATAAACTCATAATCCAGATGGTGCAACAGATGTGAGAGCAGCACTCTGAAATCAACAGACAGTGGGCAATACTTTCCATTTTCTCTTTTAAACGCTAACTAATATGTAATTCGGAATCTCCGGTGTAGTTAGCATCTGCTCCCTTCGGCCAGCCAAAGGTTACAGGTGTTCCTGATGTCATTTCACAGTAAGGCGTGGGCCTGGCTTGTGAGTAAGTGCCCAGGCTCTAATCTTTCCCTACCACCTACCAGTTTTGTCATGCTGGGCCTCCATTTGCTGTATCTTCTGTGTCAGCTCCTGCTCTCTTTGCTGGGCCTGAAGGGCTTGGGCCTTTGCTTCGTTGCTAAAGCTCTGCTGAATGCTATCTTTTTCCAGTCTGCAAAACAGAGAGGAGACATACAGAAATTTAATCTACAGATGCACAGACCCCCATTATTTCCCCTACAGACCACAGAGAGCTGATGTGTAGTAAATTGTTAAGCATAAGAAGACAGCAATCTTTCTACAGACACTCCCCACCTTTAGGGGGAAAATCCAAAGGACCTTTCATACAATGTTAAATACGTGCCGTAAATCCAAATGGACTAACACATGCAGCTTTAAAAATCAAAAAATCATGACAGCTAAATCATGGTATTTTGCAACTTTAAAACACAGACACCTTTTTTTCCCTATAACATTCTTAATGTTTTGCACTACCAATTAATCTTTCATCTTATCAATGGTCGCTATTTTCTAAAGATACTGGAATTCTCAGAACAACAAGACTTAATTCTTAAATTAAACAATGCTTAAATTCTTAAAAATAAGCTTTGTAGACCCCTTCAGTTTCTCCTCCAAAACTTAAAACGGACTCTCAAATATAATGAAGGAGACCTATCTAGAAGCAAGTAAATTGGTCTATGGTGCCACATACATTTTTCATTAAATATTTTCACACATCAGGCTGTATAATGTGAATATAAATATGAATATGAAAATTAATAACTTCCCTCAGCACTTCATAATAAAATCCCTATTGGGTCATATTGAAAGAAATTGTAGGATGAAAAACTTCCGTAGTCAAAGACAACATCCTACCCACTGTGACAGGACATTGACCTATCCCATTGGGTAGCCAATTACAGTGGCTCCTAAAGAGAGGAACTTCCTAAACAATTAGAACCTGAGGAATGCAAAGGACCTCACTGCTGGCAGCATTATGGATACTGACACTTTGTGTGTGTGCCACACACACACAGTCAGTTGGTTCTTCAAACTCTAAATATAGGTAAGTGATATGAGGGTTTCCTTCAATTAACTGACTTAGTGATTTCCAACTCCTGATCTCCTTGTGGGCCTTTCTCATCCATGCTGCTTTAGTTTACTAATTGAGATACTTACTGCCTAGCCTTTGCCAAACTAAAAATAAACAATTCCATAAAGCTATCACTACTAGTCTATGTACCGCTGTGGAACTTCAATTCACTGGCTTCTAATTATAAAGCAACATAAGGAAAGCCTGTATTAAAATTGGTCAATGCATGTGGTAATGTTGTAGTGTAACATTCCGGAATGAAAATACACCCACACCTCCCTCAAATGGAATCATCAGGGGTCCATGCTAAATGTGAAATAAAGTCCCTTCTGGTACTTCTAATAACAACACCCCCTCTGGCTGTGGTCCAAGGTCTTGCCTCACACTCAATTCCACACTAGTATATTGCAACAAATGGAGAGTCAGACTAGGCTACTTTTTGCCTCCTCAGTCACACTAAGTACTTTCTGGCCATGGATCATTGCACATGTCTCTTCCTCTTCCTAGAATGCCTCCCTCCCACCTAATCCCCCTGCAAGATGTATACTACTCCTTTAAGGCCTAGCTCAAAATGCTTCTCCTCCTTCCTCTCTCTCCTAAATTAGCTATTCTTTCTTCAATGACCTCAATATATGTTGCATACATCCTACAAAGCTAGCTAGTAGCATTTATCACACTTTATTGTTTTACATGCCTGTCTCCTTTTGTGATCTTTGTCTCTTTACACCCTGAGCCTGGCACAGTTCTTGGCACATAGGAAGTGGGCAGAGAATGTTTACTGATTGGATGTTCTTACATCCTTGCCATAAGGAAAAGGAAGGCTGCAATCTTTAAGTATAGCTGGAGAATCTACTTAAGTCTTATATGAGGAGGCAAAAACTTTTCAGACATGTTAGAAAACATGCCTGGAAAAGAATGGCTCTAATGCTTTGCCAGCTGGAGACCAAGCTGCTGAAGGAACCAGCTTGAAAAGAGCCCTGTGGACTCTTTCACTGAGTAACCATCCCCAAGTCAGACCCCCAGCTAGAGCAGGAGATACAGGTAGGGAGACCTGGGGCTCTAAGATTCATAACAATTCAGTGACTATAAATGCATTGTCTAAAACCAACACCCATTTGGGAGTGAAAAGGTACACTATTAATAATTGTAGCACGAGAGGGCAAGTGCTGTGGCCCACACCTGTAACCTTAGCACTTTGGAAGGCCAAGGTAGGATGATCACTTGAGCCCAGAAGTTCAAGATCAGCTTGGGTAACACAGTAAAACCCCATCTCTACAAAAAATAAGAAAAATTAGTCAGGCATGGTGGCACACACCTGTAGTCCAGCTAATTGGGAGACTACAACAGAAGGATCTCTTGAGCCAGGAGTTCAAAGCTGCAGTGAGCTATGATGATGCCACTGCACTCCAGCCTGGGCAACAGAATGAGACTCTGTCTCTAAAAAAATATTTTTAAAAATAATAATTATACCAAGATAATAGTCATAACAGAGACTGCCCATTTGCAAACTGGGACTTATAGTTCCCCAACATAAAGGGGTTGCCAATCTCACCATCAATTTTTAGAATGAGAAGCTATTTATTGATATTCTAAATTGACTATAGAAAATAACTACTGTATTAATTGTAGACATTCTTATAAAGTAAAACAATTTAAAAGAACTCTACCAACAAATGTTGGGTTACACATCAACTTATGTTTCTTGAATCTTTCCCCAATTTCACCCTATTTGAGAAACTACATACATTATTTTTTCATTGCATAAAAACATGGCATATTCTTGCTTTCCTACCTCCTTCCCCCTTCTTTCCTATGTTGCCTTCTCCTCTTGCAGGTTCTTTCTGACTTGGTAGGCTTTTTCTTAAATCTCAGAATGTTAGAACTGAAAGGGAACCTTAAATGTCTTTCATCAAACCCTCTTGCTTTATAGCTGGAAAAAAACCCCGAGGGTCACAAAGAATTTGGAATCTACTCATAGATTTCATAGTAAATGATTCAAATGCAGAGGTAGGATTAAAAATATTTTTATTTAGGGAAACTTATTTTGTAACACTCTAGAGGTAATGCAATAATGGGTTCAAAGAATTAATAAAAACCACTTAGATATCCAGGAAGGAACTAGGGAAGAATCCAAATCAATTCATTAAATATTTATCATAATTCTATTGTGAGAAAGACATTCTCCTAGGCACTGGGTCAAATAAAGATAAATAAGACATAGTCCTTGCCCCTAGCAGGGAGTTCAAAATGGAAAAAGGATGGTAGGTGGTAAAATACTTCATAAGAAAGGTACAAAGGAAAAAAATGACCAAGCATAAAAAAGAGAGGTCACTTCCAGGTGGGTACAAGAGCCTCATGAAGGATAGTCAAACCAGTCTCCCCAGCTGGTTATCTTTCAGTTTCCATTCAAAACATTGATGATCTCCTTTAACTAAACTTGCAGTTAGCCCTGTTTTATAAATTGGATTAAAGCAATGGTGGTAAAGAAGAATTTCCTAGTAGTTATTAAAATGGAGCTGAAGGAGTTATCCACAACAACTTAAAACTGGAAACAACCTAAATGTCCATCAACTGCTAAACAAATTGTGGTCCAGCCTCACAATGGTGTAATAGGCAAGAAATAGCAATAGCAAGAAAAAGGAACAATTTACTGTTACATACAACACCTACATGAACTTCAAAAGCAGTGCACCTAAAGAAACCAAAGACATATTTTAGATGGCATTTACTTGACATTCTAGAAAAGTAAACACTATTGACTGAAAGGTGAGGAGATGCATGAGGGAACAGAAAGGCACAAGGGAACTTTTGAATTGATGGAAATGTTCTATATCATGATTATGATGATTCCACAATTGTATACATTTGTCAAAACACACTTAACTATATATTTAAAATTGGTGACTTTTATTATATTTAAATTTACCCCAAGAAAGCTGATATTAAAAAGGAACACATGCTCTGGAACAGGCACACCCATTTTTATTCTCCAAGTCATCCACATCACCTGTAATCCATGCATGTGTGGGCCACATCAATGTTTCCTTAGTAAAAGCTCCAAATTAAGAAGCGAACAAGTACTACTGGCTGGGCCTCAAACAGACTAAGTATACACTGAGGCTCAGCCACTCCTTTTTCCAATTATAGTCATGACTGATTATATTTTCTAACAATAGCCACAACGATATTTACCATTCCATTTTTTGAAAAATTGACTGAAGAATTAACTTTACTTTTCTGATTCTCAACCTTTTTCATATCATTTATTATTTTAAATCTTGCTACTTTAAAAACATCTATCTCACAGAGCAAAAATGATTTGTTAAATAGATTTTATAAAAGTACATTTTCTATTTACAGCTAGATTAAGGGACCAAGAGTTTCTAATGATCCTAAAGCTCAACAATGAACCTGGGACAGAAATCGTGAAAGCCTCAAGTCTGAGAACAGGAATCTGGCAGTGGTGGGATTGAGGCCCCAACCCCATCTGCCATGTTTCTATTCACCTGTTTACTGATGTCTCAAGCACCAGTATTAGACATACAACCCTTTTGGTTAAAAGGTATTTTTCTCTAAAAGTACAATATTGAGAACTTTGTGACAGTAGCATATTGGTGTAACAAAACTCATTTATAATGTGCTTAGTAGCTGGAAATCATTCTTGAAGGAATATAGATAGAAACAGCAGAGGGGTGCTGGGTGCTGCTCTGAGTTCAGACACGAGATGTATATTTGTCCCAATATTGGTGATATTAGCTTTGATCACTTGGTTAATATCACTGGTGTGATGAAAAACATTTAACAACTGGTCTCTGGAGATGGGAAATCTCTCATTTGTAGTGTTTACAAATTTTTAGTGCAGATGCTTCCACCATGGTCTATTCTAAGCTACCAAAATTACATCACTGTATACCAAGTTGGGGAGACATACACACAACGGTCTTTCATGAGCTGGTACAGGCCCAGCACATCACTGGTGAGGCGAGCTCTGCCAAGCTTCTCCACTGCAAAGTTACTGTTTTTCCCTTTGAAATTGATAGGTAATATGTTGGGAACTGCTGAGACTATGTAAATATCTT